GAATTATTAGGATACTTATTAGTTTCTAAAGACTCGTCTCGTTAAACTATATAGTTATATAGTCGAAACGAATTTTAGTTAGGTATTTATAATTATTCTTAGCTTTTCGAGTACCTTACGCTCGAATTATATCTACTCTCGAGTTTACTTCTACGCGTTCTAAATAAGTATTTTAATTTAATTAAGCGAATAAGGTACTTAAGAGTTTCTAGTAAAGTCGTTCCTAAACTTTTCCGCTCGGTTTTAAGTTAGGAAAAAGCTTTCTTAATAAAATATTCCTTCGATAGTTTCGAAAGTATCGTATACTTATTCTTTCGTCGTTCTTAAAGTTAAATTAATACTCTATTCTTTCGTAGTTTTTAACCTTCTAGAATAGTTTTCTTCTAGGTCTAACCGTTAGTAGTCGTCTTTTCTATAGTTCTAAGGTCCTTTATAAGATAATATACTTATAATACTCGTTCGTTCTCTTAAGAAGTACTATTTATATTAAGATTAAATCGGTATATATTCTCGCCTATTCTATAGGTCGAATAAGGAGGTAGAGCTACGTTACTAGAGGTTCTTTTTCTTCTAGGACTATAGAATAAGAACTAATCGACGCTAAAACGAATACTATAGTAGCTATAACTAAAACGATACTCTTTACTTACCTATATTAGTAAAGGAATAGTAACGCTATCGATCTCTATAGTCTTAAGCTCGCTAAAGAACTATACTTTAAGACTTCTTATAATAGACGTATATAAAGCTATAATAGCTTTATTCGTAAAGGTTACTACTACTAAAACTTAGGCTATATAGTTATATAGTCGAACTCGTAGAAGGAAAAACGCTCTTAATTCTATAAACTATACTCTTATAACTACTATTTAATACTTAACGTAAGCTCGCGTATATTAGGTTAATCGTCGTTTCGTTACTTATCTCTTCGATCTTCTACTTTCTTCCTTACTTACTTATTCTTCTATACTAAGGCTCCTTCTCTCTTCTCTTATAACTAAGCGCCTCGAGCCCTAATATAGAATTAGTATATTTTAGTAGAGATTCGTAGGCTAATACTACCTATCCGCTCTACCTTCTATAAGTAGTTATCGAGGCCTTACCCTCCTATCGGTACCTAGGTATTTAGATAGATTCTAGGCTTACCTAGGACTATTACCGTAAGATAATAGAAACTAAAACTACGAAGAAGTTATTAGCTCTATTAGCTCTCGTATTATCTATATAGGGTGCCGGCTTAGTTAATCTACGATAAGTATATCGTACGATAATCGTCCCTTAAATACTATTCGGCTACTCGGCGTAGCACGTACTTAGTCGACGAGGTAGGACTATAAATAGCGCTATACTTAACGCGATTATACGAATTTAGTATAGGGCGGTATAGATTATTACGGAGGCCTTTCGTACTACGGCCGGCGTAGCGGTCGATATAGAGGCTAATCTACTACTAATACGATAATAGCTTAAATAGACCGCCCTTAAAGCGACGATACGTATCTAAACTACTCTACTATACGTAGAGATAGCGCTCCCTAAGAATAATAGGGGATATAGTACTTTAGATCGACTATCTAAACTCCTCGAAAAGAAGTATCGTATCCGGCTTAATTAGCTAGAGAGACGATAATAGTACGTAGTCCTACTATAGTAGATACTACCGGTTATATATATAGATAAGATAGTCGAAGACGCTATTAAGCGGCACGATACTACGGATTCGCGGACGCTACGTATATATATAGACGGTAGCGGCGTCGACGGCTACGTCGGTATAGCTACGGTCGTCTTAGATATACCGATCGTAGATATTTTAGCTAAAAGAATAGAGTATATAGGCACTATAACTACCTTAACCGTATACGCGGTAGAGTTACGAGGTATCGAGCTAGAATTATAGATAGTACTAGATATTTAAGCTAAGATAGATATATCGAGTTAATATTATAATTCGGGCTATAAGTAGTTCTAACTAAGGTAGGGTTCCTTAATAGAGTAGGTACTAGAGTATTAACTAAGATAATAAAGGGAATACTTATTCGTCGGACTATATCCTAAAATATAGGTATAGAATTACTAACGAAGTTAACTACGAACTATACTATCTAGGTAAAGGAGCGTATATATATAATACCGATCTAGACTATAGACTTACTTAAACTATCCTTATAGTCTATAGTCCCCTATAGTCTATCTTCCGGTTACGTAATATAGCCTCGTTCTCTATCGGCTAACTTCCTTATCTAATCTAAGTATAGGTAGCTTATTCTTAGCGACCCTTCTAGTGACCTAGTTCGTAATAGTTAATATATTATCTTTACGGATAATTAGGCCGCGATTTAAGCTATAGCTAATCCTAAGTACCCCTCTAGATAATATATTCTCGTACGCGCGGTACGACTACTAGATTAATTCCGAGATAAAGGATAAAAGATTTAGCTTTATTAGATTCCTATATATCTTAGCGTATCCGGTAATAAAGCGGCTAACCGAGCGGCGAAAGAGGCCTTAGGCTAGACGGGTATACTAAATAACCTAGATCCTTACGAGGAGGTCTCTATACGTCGGATTTTAATAGCTACTATAAAGACTACTATTCGGCGTAATATAAGGACCGAATGGGAACGATCCTAGGAAGCGGCAAAACACGGACGAGAGCTATTTAGGCTTAGAGTCCGCCTAGGAAAGGGTCTCTTAACCGTATATATAGGTATACACCGAGCAATTAGCTCGGTTATAATATAGATACGTAACGGTAAAATCGGCCTACGCGCGTATCTTTACGCCATTAATAAGGCCGATACCGACTAATACGACTACGGCTATAGCCGCTAAACGGTGCGATACATCCTACTCGAATATCGAAATTAGTGCGAGGAACGATAGATAATATAGGTAGGTAAAACTCTATATATAGACATTAAGTAGATTCTCTATAGCCCCTTAAGTGCCGTACGCGCGGTAAAGATGATGATTGTAACGGGACTACTGGAGCAATTCCGGGTAGTACCGTCCACGATATTCGAATACACTTAGCGTAGACGAGTGTTTATTAGTAGATAGAAGAAGAGGACGGCTAGGAAAGGCCGGATACGTACATAGACGTAGGATATAGTTATTAAGGCTATATATACGAGTGTTAGAACTAGAGTGGAGGTAGAAGTAGTTCTAAGGGGGATAGCTTGTCGTACAGAAACTTGACGGGGGAAAGCACCTGTACTTATAGTCGTACGCTACATAGCTGCTACTGTATAAGGCGGCTGGGACAGACTATGAACTAATTAAATTAAATTAAATTAAATCAAACAATGACACCAACCAACCCAAGTTGTACAGTATCCCTCACGTAGTTCAAGGCCACGATTGCCGACACGGCCAGGCCAATATTCTCTTGATCTAGTTGAGTCGCAGATTATGATGGCAAGAAAATGCATCGCCTATATTATATTCACTTGCTTTGAAGACGACATCATTGGCAAAGACAGTCTCATTGACAAAGTGGCGATGAAATTGGCCACAGGTGAACAAGGCTACCTTGCTCATTCCTCAAGTTTTGGGCTACCTGTTACCGAGAAGCACAGGAAAAAGCAACTCAGTTTTCATTGCAGTCGATTCTCAAAGTCTGTAACGTTCAAACTCGACGTCGCCAAAGATGGTTCAATACATTTATGACTACTGCTTGGCAGCTCGGGCAGGGTTTCTACATAATCGACCATGTGATCAATTACGCAGTACAGTACAGTACTGTCGGACGGAGATGTAAAAAGGAACACGGATTTGCCAAGTGGATGGGCATTTCCAGATACCCACTTCCGTAATTATATCGTCTGGGCTCGAGCAAAAATGAAAGCCGACATGTATATGGTGAGCGTCATACCCCGGTGACTGGTGATGAACTTACTCCTTGGAATTAGCCCTGTCGCCCGGGGATCAGGCCACACTACAGTCATGTCGCCTTAATTGCCCGATTAACGCCAAGTAAAAATGCAACTTATGATAGTCAGAACAGAGGGGCATGCGCAACCCCATTTTGAATGGGTGACAGTTCCGGAATACGATATCAGGTGATTGTTGCGAAACTAAATTTGCACTTTTTGGGTATAGGCATGGATGAAATGAGGAGTCCTTCTAGCCCATTGAACCTTATCGGTGGGCTCACCGAACATGAGTCTTCTGCACTGGCAGACTACAAATATAACGAAAGACTTGTATGCTAACATCGGATGATTTCCTCGCCAGATTTCTAAAATATTATCCTCTTTGCTTTGGGACTTGAGTGATCTGGATGATGTCGTCTTCCATAAGTTTACGTGCTACGGCCAATGAAGAAGATCCCGAAGCCCAGGACATAACCCCACTCTGTCCTTCGTCATTTTACTCCTTGAACAGATGTACTACTAACACAAGCATAGATGGTAGAAGAGCCCCTAGGACCTCCAAATCTTCACTTTCTAACTTCAAGACAGACAGCGGGCATATAAATATCGACATCAAACAGTCCAGCAGTAGATTCCCCGACCAGCTGGTTACTCGGCTCAAAAGCCGCTCGAAACAAGTCGTTCACGCAGATGGAATTCGCCTAAACACAAATTTGCATCCGACAATCTGTGCCAATATTTCACAGTCTCCGGTGCATCTGAACATTGTGATTCAGGTAGTTGGATCAAGAGGCGACGTTCAGCCGTTTGTGGCACTTGGAAAAACACTTCAAGAAGTACATGGCCATCGTGTTCGCATTGCATCTCATGCAGCCTTTAAACCCTTGGTAGAACAAGAGGGGCTAGAGTTTTTCAACATTGGCGGCAATCCCGAGGCATTGATGGAATTCATGGTCAGTAACCCAGGTTTGCTACCACATTACGAAACCCTACGCAGCGGAGATGTATTGAAGCAACGGAAATGTCTCTACGAGGTTCTTAAGGGCTGTTGGAGATCTTGCATCGAGGCAGGAGACGGCATGGGACCACGGCCAAGGAATGAAGATTACTCTACTCTAAGAGAGTGGAGTTCCGAAAAAGAGAATGAAAAGTCATTTATTGCAGACATCATCATTGCAAATCCGCCAAGTTTTGCTCATGTACATTGTGCAGAAAGGCTTGGAATCCCATTACATCTCATGTTCACGTAAGTTGTCCCATGTCATCCATTTTTAGAAAGGCTCAGAGTTTGATTGTTGCTCCAGAATGCCATGGACGCCAACACAAGCATTCCCTCATCCACTTGCAACTATACGCTCTTCCAACTTGGAAACAGGGTTGGCTAATCTAACGTCTTACTTTCTCGTTGAGAAAGTTATCTGGCACGGCCTGGGAGATGTCATAAATTTATTTCGGCAGAGATGTCTACATTTGGAGCCACTGAGCATAACTTGGGCTCCGGGAATAAGCCAACGACTTCGCCTACCTATCACATATGCTTGGTAAGAAGAAAACCATCCCAATAGTATAAGCATATTCTAACAAATTTAGGTCTCCAGCTTTGCTACCAAAACCTCCTGATTGGGACAATAACGTCTCTGTAGCTGGATACTTCCAGCTGCCACCACCGACCTCTCCTCCAGATGTGTCAAATGAGTTATTGCAGTTTCTGGAAGCGGGCTCTCCACCGGTGTATATAGGGTTCGGTTCCATTGTCGTGAGAGACATTCGTGCCTTGACGAAAATCATACTTGATGCAATTGCAGAGGCAGATGTGCGGGCCGTCGTTTCGAGTGGATGGGCCGGCCTTGGTGGCAGAAATATGTCAGAGGATGTTCACCTGATATCTGACATTCCACACAGTTGGCTTTTTGACCGAGTGTCTGTAGTTGTGCATCACGGAGGAGCGGGAACCACCGCAGCCGGTCTGATCGCAGGCAAGCCAACGGTGATCATACCTTTTTTTGGCGACCAGCACTTTTGGGGTAAAATGGTCGCCGCGGCAGGTGCAGGGCCTCGACCGATTCCTTATAAAGCATTGACGGCAAAGAAGCTTAGTGCAGCGATCAGCCAGGCTTTACATCCGTCTATGGCGGCAAATGCGCGAAATTTGGGCGAACAGATTCGACTTGAGCATGGATGCGAAACCGGTGCCGAAATTTTCTGCGCAAAATTGCCACTGGCGAGGCTACATTGCTCAATCCTGCCCCAGCATGCAGCAGTCTGGAGAGTAAAAAGGACACAAATACGGCTGAGTGCACTCTCAGCGACGACGCTCTGCAGAGAGGGACTGCTACGGAAAGATCATCTTGAATTGTAAGAGACTGCGAATGCTTGCCATCAGAAGTTAAAGAAACATTGTCCCTAACCATAATAGGTATCGATCTCAGGAATACGAGCTTGAGGTTGGCCCGTGGGACCCAATCTCGGGAGCTATAACCACGTTTTTGAGTGCATTTGGAAGAATGGCACAAGTATTTGTCGAGTTACCCATTCACATTGTGCAGACATTTCAATCATCCAATGCCGGGCAACGTAGTCCTTGCAGCTCAGTAACCGAGCAGGACGACATATACGATGCAGACGAGGAGCCTTCAGCAACATTCCCAAAGATCAGTGACACTCTTTCTACGGAACAGAAAGCCGCCGCCCCACACGATAACCATCATTTTTATGTCCCCGAAACGCTTCGAAGGCGACTGATCAAGAAACAACTTGAGGCTGAACTTTGCGGCACCTTTGGCCGTAGAAAGTCTATACGGCATAACGGCCATTTTCCACGTGAACGAGGCCCAAACGCTTTGATACAGACCATCCGTTACGTCTCTCTCGACATATCATCTAGCGTCGCCTCAACCTTTAAAAATATCACCGACACCGGGCTGAGGTTCCCCGTGAACTTGACAATGTCACTTGCGCTAGGGTTCCACAATGCGCCCAAGCTGTACGGTGACAAGACTGTTCGACCACCACCTTCTACACACGTCACTAGTTTCCCACAGGGGCTGAAATACGGATCCGAAGAGTTTTGTAACGAGATCTCCGACGCGTTTATGGGCATCGTAAAGCTTCCAATGTATGGAGCAAGAGAAGACGGAGTTGTTGGGTTTACTAGGGGTGTCGGGACGGCAGTCGGGGGCCTCGTGCTCAAGCCAATGGCGGCAATCTTCGGGCTTCAAGCATACGCGATGAAGGGATTGCATAAAGAACTGCGAAGACGCGATATTCTGGATTTCACGGCCCATATTGATGCGGCGAGAACAGCCCAGGGGGAAGATGAGTGCCAAAGGACCACGGACGAGGAGAAGAAAGCCATCATCGAGCGGTGGAGAGATATTGTCCGAGATAATGTGGTCGGTCAACAATACCTGTCCCGTTCTCTAAACTCGCAAGGTTAACGACCATATCATGTCTTCTGAATGCCTCAGTCAAGGCCTTGTGGTCAAAACTATTGCGGGACAAGGCCTTGCTCGCTCTTGCGGCCTTTTGTAGCGTTCGAGCAAAAATATGAAAAAGTTAGACAAGACGGACATTTGATCGTCTATTGTGCTGTAGGTTATCGTGGCTATCTGGCTTGCAAAATCTTACAACCAAAAGGATTCGACGTTCAAACGTCATGGCAGGTGCAATCTTTTTGCTAGGGAGGTTACAGTAGCCAGAAGAACTGTCAAGAATAGTCAAAGAACCACCGAAGTTGCCTGTGATGCAATACTCCGGTCAACTCTTTGTTGAAACAATAGAGGCTACGACTAATGTTCTAGATCCAACGCAAGTATGACCAAACATCTCGGGCCTCGAGCTTGCTCAATATGTCAGGTGGGATATAGGGGGATGACGAAGTATTTAATTATTATTAGGTTTGGTATGTGATTGGTAAACTCGTTCGGTTCGCTATTTTTGGATATTGGATGGTATATATGTGGTGACACGCGTAAGGTCAATTTGGATCCATTAATCCATCAAGCCAGGTACAAAACAGAGACAACTTTCGGAACGAAACTGTTATCGAGTGCCGAGCTGCGGCTGTTTGTCCCTAGCCAAGCGGTATTATTCATTTAATGCCTGTTGAGGACCAGGAGGGCCGCATAGCCCAATAGACGGTAGGCAATGATAATTCCAAACATAATTCCAATCCACTCCCCTATCCTTCGGTCTGTGTAAGAATAATTGTAGGCTTCCAAAACGGCGGTGCCACGAATCTGGCCCTGAGATTGCAAGTTGCTGGGGTACATACACTGAAACCCCGACGCGAGCTTGTTACAGTCCCAGACGGTGGATTTGAATTGATTAACCATCATGCCCTGGAATACGTAGGCCTGGTAATCGATGTAGTGAAAGACGTATTTCCAGAAGCCGTTCAGAGTACTCATAGGTACAAGGAAACCGTTGACGCACATCCATAACCCGTTCGCAAAGGCTGTGATGGCTAAAGACACCACGAATATTGGGAAGATGCTGGACACTAGGACTACAAGGCCTTCGGCAGCGAGAAGATCTAAGTACAGCCATAGCACCCACATCCAGAATCCACTGGCTGTGGCATGGAAATTGCCCAGCCAGTAGGTTATAATGGAGAACATAACGGCGATAACAAAGAGCCAAGGGATCCCGATGAGAGCGTTGGCAATAGTAAATGGCAAGGGGCCGTAGAGCCCATTTGCTCGCTCTTTGTGAAAGGCTTGAAGGTCTTCGATAATTGAAGGCACGTAGGCCACGGCCATGAAGGACACTATACAAATTCGTCCAGATTAGCTTCTAGAAAGGGGTAGACTGTCGGTCGTGGTCAGGATATTTATATAATCAAGATATCACAGCCAAGTCGAGACGGAGTTTTCTGAAAGTGGAACTCACTAAATGCACCCCCGAAGAAGATTGCGTTGATGAATGGTTGGATCGAGTCTTGCGTGTAGGAGAGACGTAGCCAAACAGTTCCTGTCTCAAATTTAGTCTTGTAGGAGGACAGATAAGGGTAGCGACTTAAGGTCCTTACCCATCATAATGGCCAGACCGAAATACATTGCAACTCGAGTCCCGTATGCGATAATATCGCGATACGATTTGATAAAGTTACGGTGTAGAAGGACAAAGGAAATGTAAGCTGTATTTTTCTGCGCAAGAGGGAGGTCGGGCTCCCCAATATCCTTGTCGCAGCAGTTTGCGACCGAGGTCTCCAGGGCCTGGCGTTCGTCTGAGGTGGCCCAGGAGTCATGGACATGCTGAAGCCGGCCTTCCGCAGAAGCTCCACTCTGGACGAAGTCAATGTTTACAAGATCGAGCAGAAACTCAGCAGGATTGATGTGCAACGGAATCGAATGGCCGATTTTTTCAAAGTAAGCTTCAACGCCAGAGACAGGCCCGAAGTAACATGTCTTGCCCTTGGAAAGAAGCATTAGTTGATCAAAGAGCTGGAATGTGGTTGTCGAAGGCTGGTGAATGGATGCAATGACGATCAAATGATGCTGCTTAGCGACTGCACGGATATATTTCATGACCTCAAAGCTCGCAGCTGAGTCGAGTCCACTTGTTGGTTCGTCGAGAAACAATATTCTTGGAGATGTGACGAGTTGACTGGCGACGCTCAACCTGCGTTTTTGACCACCACTGAGGCCCTTCCGAAGGGGCGTGCCGACAATAGTGTCACCTTGTCGTTGTAGGCCAAAGGACTCGATCAATTCGTTCACTCTTGTGAGTCGTTCGCTTTTAGACATCTTTGCTGTGAGCGAGAGTCGTGCTGCAAAGTCGATCGTCTCGCGAGTGGTCAAGCTGCCAATCATGGCATCCTCCTGTTCCACGTACGTCGAGACTTTTTGGATAGCAGTTGGACTCGTGGTTTGCCCATTAAGCATGACAGCTCCCTGGATTTCGCCTTTCATGGTGGACGTTCGGTGAGCCACAACATTCAATAACGTTGTTTTCCCGCTTCCGCTGGGCCCCATTAGCGCCACAACGTTACCAGCTTTAACGATGCCACAACTTGAACTTAGGATCTTCAACGATTTCTTTGTCTTCCGGTCTTTGACAACGACTCCTACTTCTGACCAAGAAAGAATGCTAACAGAAGTGTTTGTCAGATGACGACTCAGTTCTTCCCCCTTTTCCACATCCCTAGCCGCATCAGCAGCCGGGGCAACGATAGCCTCCACAGACGGCGTTGGGTCATGGATGTTCATTATATCTGTAGAAATAGGTTCCCCAGTACATAATGAAAGAATGTCTTACTAGGGTGGTTAGATGCACGAGGTTGGAAGAAAGGACGCCCATTTATAACGATGGTTCGTATTTTGTCTGACCACAATCTCGTGTCAAGTATCTGATAAAATGAAACTCTGTTTTTAGGGGCGGGATGTGCTTAGGTCAACCAATAGCAATTCTCGACTAGATCCCGAAACCACATTGTGCCAAGGCGCCGGGGACCTCCGGGCTGCCCGCCATACCTTCCCTTTCAAGTCCCGGCTGTAAAAGACAGACCGGGACAAGTTATTACTAAAATAATACTTAATGATGTTAGTATGACGCATAGCTTAGTTGAATGGTGCAGCAGATGGGAGGGGAATCTTTAGGACCATTCCCACAAACTAGCAAGGTGTTCTCAGACACCTAGTCCGGTGGCCAGGATCCTGCGTTGGTTTAGATAATGAGATCGCTGAGTTGGCTGGGAACAGGAGATGTTCAAAGAATTTTGCCAGTCTTTCAAATTTCATCAGTCGGTGGTCTGATTCTCCATGACCGCAAAAACGTACACGAATAAGATGCTGCAATGTTAATTCTCCCTCATCTAGCCAACCTCATCCGTTACGGCTTTCGGAAGAGAGACGCTCAACGTCACGAGACTCGAAAATGGACAACCCCGTGCATTGCCTCGACGATGCACCCTTTTTACAACTCTCGTGTGTCCCACTGCGAAGCATGATTGCAGCATCCTTAATCTGTGCGAGCACTTATTGCAGTTCACTACTATTTTGAGGCTATACCAGTGCCCTTAAGCATTAAATGGAACAGGGAACCGTGTTAAAACCGAAGCGTGGTGAAGAACTGGAATTCAATATCGAAGACAACCCATTTGCCTTCTCGCCAGGACAACTCTCGCGGCTTACGAATCCGAAAAGTCATGCCGCCCTCCTTGCATTGGGCGGATTGGCAGGTCTGGAGAAGGGACTGAAAACGGACCTCCGCGCTGGACTGAGTGTTGACGAAGTACGCCTGACTGAACGAGTCTCTTTCGACGAGGCAGTCCAGGCAAGACCGACCATGCAGAAGGAAAGGCTACCAAGTGGCTCAGAAGTGCCACGTAAACTCGAAGACAAAAAGCATAACCGCTTCACAGATCGCAAACGCGTGTTTGGCGAAAACGTACTCCCGGAGAAAAAGCCAAAATCAATCTGGAGACTCGCCTGGATCGCTCTGCAAGACAAAGTACTGGTCTTGTTGAGTGTTGCTGCCGTCGTATCCCTCGCGCTAGGCCTGTACCAGACGTTCGGACCCACACACGAAGAAGGCGCGAAAGTGGAATGGGTGGAAGGAGTCGCCATCATCGTCGCCATCCTGATTGTTGTGATTGTCGGCGCGTTGAATGACTGGCAGAAGGAGCGACAGTTTGCGAAACTTAATCGGAAAAGAGAAGATAGGCTCGTTAAGGTCGTCCGATCCGGTGGGACGATGGAAGTGTCCATCCATGACATCATGGTGGGAGATGTAATGGTGCTTGACCCAGGAGATGTCCTGCCCGTGGACGGGATCCTTATCGAGGGACATAACGTCAGCTGTGATGAAGCCTCGGCAACTGGGGAGTCAGACCTCATCAAGAAAACACCTACAGATAACGTTGTCACTACACTCCAAGAAGGGAAAGGGAATTTAAAGAAGCCTGATCCATTTATGATCTCCGGCACCAAGGTAGCCGAAGGTGTTGGTACCTTCCTGGTCACTGCAGCTGGCATACACTCTGTGTTTGGGCATACGATGGTGTCTCTGCGCGAGGAGACAGATTTGACACCCCTGCAGTTCAAGCTAAGTTCTCTTGCCGGTGGGTCTGCCCTTCTATGCGACTTGCGGGACGCGTGCTAATACGGCTGAAGGATACATTGCAAAGATTGGCAGTGGGGCTGGTCTGCTTTTGTTTGCCGTTCTTCTAATCGAGTTTCTTGCCAGACTCGGTGGAGACGATGGAAGTGCGGATGAGAAAGCCCAACACTTCATGAACATTCTTGTCACGTCGATTACAATTATTGTGGTCGCCGTTCCGGAAGGCCTACCACTGGCGGTTACCCTCGCCCTGGCATTCGCGACAAAGAGGATGACGAAGGACAACAATCTAGTCCGGCATCTTCAATCCTGTGAGACAATGGGAAATGCAACGGTTATCTGCTCAGACAAGACGGGAACATTAACCAAGAACGTCATGACGGTGGTAGCAGGGACAATAGGGGCAGAAACGCTATCCTTTGGCGATCGAGATAAGGCTACTGAAGAGCCGAGTACTGCCTCGACTACATCGCTCCATACTAGACCTGCAGAGAGACCTCGCCTATCCTACGATTCATCCGATGCGGCAATGCCACCAGCGACTCGCACTACGTGTCTACAGGATTCCGAGACGAAAATCCTGTCAAGACTTCCTCCACTGCTACGGGAACTACTAAAGCAGTCGGTTGTCGTCAACACTACCGCATTCGAAGGGGTCGAAAATGGGGCAGCAACCTATATAGGCTCTAAAACTGAAACTGCACTCCTCGACTGGGCCAACCGGTACTTCACACTGGGACCGCTAAGCGTCGAGAGGTCGAACTACCCTTTGGTGGAACTGTACCCATTCGACTCTCGCCGCAAATATATGGGCGCCGTGGCCAAGACATCAAGTGACAAGTACCGCTTATTTGTCAAAGGAGCTCCGGAGATCGTGCTGGAACAGTGCTCCACTGTTCTTGGCGAGCCTTTGGATCAGCTAGGACATGCTCCCCTGGACGCCACACGGAGGAAGGCACTGATGAAAGTTATATTGACATATGCGTCCCGCTCCTTGCGGACGATAGCAATCGCATATACCGAGTTTGACCTGTGGCCGCCGCCAAGAACAGCGAGCGCAAATCCGGACGTGTCTGACCAGCCACAAACATCAGATGTCTTTAAGCATATGACTCTCTTGTGCATCGTCGGGATCCAGGACCCAGTTCGCGATGGCGTACCTGTAGCGGTGAAAGATTGCCAACGTGCGTCGGTAGCTGTCAAAATGGTGACAGGCGATAACATCGAAACAGCAAGAGCTATTGCCAAGGAGTGTGGCATTCTCAGGGATGACGGTGTGGTAATGGAAGGCGCCCAGTTCCGCGAGCTCGGCAAGCAACAGCTACAATCAGCAGCCCAGCGTCTATGTGTTCTTGCACGGTCCAGCCCGGACGATAAACGCATCCTAGTCAAAGCTTTGAAGGAGCTCGGGGAGGTGGTCGCGGTCACGGGAGACGGTACGAACGATGCGGCAGCCCTAAGAGCCGCCGACGTAGGGTTTTCAATGGGCATTACAGGAACTGAAGTCGCCAAGGAAGCCTCCGACATAATCCTCATGGACGACAATTTCTCATCTATCGTCAAAGCCTTAGCCTGGGGCCGCACGGTAAACGACTCTGTGAAAAAATTCCTCCAGTTTCAAATTACCGTTAACATCACGGCTGTTATACTCACTTTTGTCTCGGCAGTTTCGGATGACGACGAAACTTCCGTCCTTAATGCGGTTCAGCTGCTTTGGGTCAACCTAATCATGGACACCTTTGCTGCGTTGGCTCTCGCTACGGATCCCCCAGTCTATACAGTGCTCGATAGGAAGCCCGAACCTAGATCCACACCATTAATCAATGTCACAATGTGGAAGATGATCATTGGCCAGTCACTCTATCAACTCACGGTTACATTCATCCTCCACTTCGCCGGGCCGGGTTTTCTGTATTATCCTGCAGACGAGCAGAAGACCCTGGTCTTCAACGTCTTCGTGTGGATGCAGATCTTTAAGCTTGTCAACAGCAGGCGCATCGACAACAAACTCAATATCTTCCAGGGCTTGCACAAAAATTGGCTGTTTATGCTGATGTTCACTATCATGGCTGCGGGTCAGGTGTTGATCGTGTTCATTGGCGGGGATGCATTCGTGGTGACAAGGCTGAATGGCGCCCAATGGGCTATTTCTTTAGTCCTAGGCTTCATGTCCATTCCGATGGGCATTCTGATACGACTTATTCCTGATATTGTGGCGGACACACTTATGCGGTGGATGGGTAAACTATGGCGGTGGCTCGTGCCTAAAGTGATCAGGGAGAGGAAATTGAGATCAAGGAGCCTGCTTCCAGTCGATGAGGCTGGCAAAGTGTTCCTCAGCGTTAGAGATGATCTGGCTTTCCTGAAAGCAATCCGTGGTGGTCGAGTCCGCTTGTTAGGGCAAGGTATCAAGCACCCCGTCGAGCTGATGCGTCGCTCATCGGCAACATTAGGATCATCGATTCCGCCAATACACGCCGCCATTGCCATGCCTGGCATATTGGCAGCCGGCCCTGGAGGACTTTCTCCATGCCATCCTTGGTCGCTTCGGTCGGAAGGCCCTGAGTCTAGCCTCGCTTTTCCTGAAAAGAGATCTCAGGAAGAAACATAACTCGCCGGAAGGATTTGCAACATTCGAGTGAGTTCAGGGAACTTGGGCGGGACTTACATTGGTTCGAACGTTGCTACACAGGCCATATTGAATCTGGAAATTGTTCCCTGGCATATTAGGCGACCAATCATTTCCCAATACCGCTTCAGATAGAGCCGAGGGCGTTGATCCTCTGTCCTCTTCACAGGAGCACGCATACATGGAACGCTGAGCTTTTTTATTCTTTCAGTCAACAGCAATTCTTTACAGATCGAAGGGGGTGCGGCAAGAGATGCGATAAATCTCAGCATCTGCACTATCTTGACGAAAGATATTTTGGGCCGGACGTGCGATCCCATGAAGGGTTCTAGCATGGCCACTTGCCTAGCGCGACGAACATCCAGCTTTCATTGCAAGACAAAGGATGCCATCGTTGGAAAGGAACAGAAGAAGTACTCGTATATTGCTAGGTGGGATGCTACAGATATCAGGCCTACCGCATCCTAAGACAGAGCATTTTAATGTTGTTGATTTAGATGGGGCCTTGAGACTGTTCGGGCACCGGATAAGTAGGAAGTTAGCAGGCTGAATAAGCCAACCACTGTACGATAATCCGACGGGAAAATCATTAAAAATACGCAACAGAATGCGAATGGTAGTTTGATGTAACTAAAACTACACTCCCTGGGTCGAGCAAGGCGTACGGTTTAGTGGAGCTTAATGACGTTACAATCACCCGCTATGTACTGTGCTGCATTAAGAATCTAGATACGATTTTGCCTCGTCAACTCTTTCGGATGACTAAGTGGGACGTGGAAGCTTTCAAGGGGCGAAAGACGATTAATTCGCATGAGGATATTGAGGTTGCAGGAGTAGGCGCATCGTTATCAGCTTCGACGACTTTCTCGCAATCGGGCCTCCGCCGAAATTCAGTAGGTAAGTGATATACTAATGATGTACTGCAGAGCGGTAACATACGAACTCACCTATTGTAGATGTTTGCCTGCTCCACATCGGTCATCCCAGCCATGCCACTTATGAACCAGCTGCAACGCCAGTTCACCGAAATACAAGGTCTCTCCATGCGGCCGATGGTGATGTTGCTGGAGATGTGGTTTTCAATGTTCGGCGTCGCCATTGTTGCGCTGCCGCGCCATTCGCAGAGGGCTGCCACGCTCACCACGGTACATTCGTCTTTTGTTGTCGCGTCTAACTGCATCCTTCAGTCTTTGAGCCAGCTCCCTCAATGTTTACACTGGACCTACCACTCCAGCCCATGCAGGTACCTACTTGGCGGTCTAATCTCCACCGCTCTACACGACGTCCTAGTCGTATGTAAGCCGATGGAGATTAACGTGTTCCAACCTCCACTAGGTCAGACTTGCCCCGAGTACGCGGGGTCCGTTTGTTCATATGAGTTTCGGCAACCCTGTTGAATTATAACGCAACGGCAGACCGTCGTTACTGCCGCGTTGCCGGCGGCGACCAGTTTCTCCAAATCCGCGACATGGACTATGGCGATTGGTGGAGAAACCATTGCTTCCTTGTGGCATGCGTTGCATTCTTTCTCTTGTCCTTGAGTGATATACTAGTACTTCCATCCCATTGAGAAGGACGAGCCTTCTTCAATTGGGTGGCTGCAGCAGCTTGATTCTTTCAATCGACCACCTTTGATTGCCATCTTGTGCCTAGGTAATCCTCAGATATGGGAAAATGAATTTTGAGGTTAAGGGTGTCACGAGCGTCAATAGAGGCGGTTGCGAGGTCACAAACCTAGGTCAATAGGAGGATAAAGAAGGTCATGCGGCCGCCTTTAAGGGACCAAGATCTTGCTCGCAGCACCACCCACTATATTTGTATGCACAGAAATTTGGAGGATATGATTCGGGGAATTCAACACGATTTGACAGTTGAAGAATTCTGCTTATCGTACTTTCAATTAGTTGGCGTAGTCGTCAGCGGTGCAATCTCCTTCACCGCCTCGCTCTCCGATCTATCTTACTTATAATGCTCCTGAGCACCAGGTTCGGGAAGGGCGAGCATGCCGGACGATACCTCATACTCATGTGAATACTACAGCCTCTGCGTTTCTATTTTGCAGGTGTGTTTCCGAACCATGTATCGGGCGCCCATAAAGCAAGGGTCTTCTGATGGGGTCGCGGATCAGGCATTGGTGGAAATCTAAAATCGACTGCTTTACTGGCATTAATGCACAAAATAGCAAAGAGCTGTACAGGCATCAGAGGCATCTCAGGCGACGGAATTGATCTCTCTTCGCAAAACGGTATAAAAATGCCGTCGCCTACGGACATAATGACTGCATGGAATGCCATGAATATGACTGTTTGCTGAGTGGTTCATGATGCAGTTAGTTCCTCACAGAGTGGTCTGACTGATAGTAATCATAATACTACCAAGCTGGGTGGCTTGCTCTAATCCTCGAAGATCTCCTCATTCAGCTCTGATAACATAAAAACGTCATTTAACGCATCTCTTTTTTAGGATTAAATCTTGCAAGATCCGTATCGAACCCATTCAAGTTGGTCTGACTTAGATGTTTAGAACAATAACGAGTAGCTTCTTAGGCAGAAGGAGGAGCAGTGCTTCCCAGAAGTAGATTAACGCCACCGAATTCGTCGTTAAGCGGGAGCATAAAGCACTCTCAGAACTCAAATAATTATGCCGCAAAAGTTCTGTATCGTGGCCAAAGAGCGATTTGGTGACTTATAATACCTCGGATTATAATTCTGACGATTCCTATCTCTTGAGTATAGGCAGGTAAATTTTCCTGCTTTGTCTAGTGCTAGTCAGTAGCCGATATCCAAGGGCTAAATACGATCTAGGCGGTACTTACGAGCACGAGATTACGACGTCCACGCCGCATTCAAGCAATACGTAGCATTAGCAATATGGCGACATAACATACAGCTAGAAAAAACTTATAACGATATCGATATTCCTAAATTCGAGACAATTAGGCGACTAGTAAGGGCTACAGCCGAACTAAATTTACCGATTCAGGAACTCATACGGGTGAATATAGTAACCTCAATAAATAGGACGACGAGATGTTACATAAGTACCTATTATTGTATATATTATTTCCTAAGTAAAGGGAGAAGATATCCTTTATTGTATAAGGTGGACCTAGCATTATCCAGCGTATTCCTCGCGGCCGAGTATATAACACAATTTATGTAGCCATTTAATGCAGAGCTACAGCACTAATTTAACACTACTTCTATAAATATTATCGATTTATTAAATGTAAGCATTCTAACCTTCTAGAGGATGTAGAAGCTACGTAGTACTACTAGTAATATAGAGATAACTTACTATATATAAGTATAATTATACCGTAGCGCAGCGGCACATCACGGCTATTACCTTACCCTAACTATATTAAGGTTAGACTATTAGCGCTCCTTCTTTCTTCTCTACGATCTAGAGATTTATAACTCTCTAGTTCGAACCTACAACGACAAGGAAAACTATAGTTCTTAGCTATTACGAGAGCGCTGAAGTTTTATACCAAGAGCTAGGCCCTGAAAACGTGCCGAAAGGCTTTGGTGATGACCTAAAATGGGAATTCGGAGAGTTCCCCAACCTTAGTTCGGATGCTAAGTTGTTAAGTAAAAAATTAGTTGATTGGTGGGTCCAAGACCCTTTACGGTTCATAGGTGGCCCGGGTGAGAAGAACAGGATCATTGCTGTTGGGACCGAGCATGGTAGGTTGAGAAGAGGTAGGTTATAGGCTAGGATATAGAAGTTTCACTTAAAGGCTCAGCAAAATTTGTGTTGCTGTAGTATTATACGTTGGGCCAGCTGCAAAGTTTCTCTCTAGACGCTGGTAGTCTATATAGAGTCCTATGTCTTTAGGGCATTATCTCACCGGATTTAGCACGCCTCTTTATACATACTATTTAGCTTGTGTCCAATTATCACACCAATAATAAATCTGCTTACCGTGTGTCTAGTAGCTCACGCCGACTAGTGCCACTGTCACTGGCTTTGATGCATATCGACAGGTAGTTAAAGACTAAATTAAGGATGGTGGCGTGGAAATGAAGATGGATATAACAGCCAGTCAACTCTCAAGCTACAGCGATCCAGCGAAGCGGTTTTCGCTCATGAAGCTCTATTTTATCTGCCTTCTCTTAGGTAACACCTTAACGGCAAGGGCTGTGATCTTCTCCGACTAAGCCATGTCCTGTGCGCTAATGAAGGACGGTATGCCCTTAATCATGACCATTCTGACCAGCTCATGTACAAGGATACCAACCAAATTCTAGATGCAAAAGGTTACGTATGCTCGACATCAGCGTCGAGAAATCCCAATTTATGAGTATCTCTACCTATCGGCATACTCCAAATGTGGATGGCTTGCCTTTCTGACAGCTGGAGCTGGGACTTTCTCATTTGTTAGAGGGTAGGTCAATACCGATTACACTTCAAAAATTCGAACAAATTATGCAACGAGATTCCTAACATCATGAGTAGCAATCCCAAAACGTAAAATGGCTTTAGCACCCAACACTTTCTTCTACAATACGTCTAAATGTGGAGGAATGACTGGAATAACCCGCTTTTCGATCTTGGCGAGCAAACCTTCTTTCGAGGCGATGTTAGGAACACAACCTTCAGATTAAAAAACACCTTCGCTCTCGAAAAAGATTTCTTTTTTAATATGATTTCCCTAATGAGCCAGGCTGAGTGGAATTCCTAGTCCACCTGTAGCATCTATACTGGAAGTGACAGGGTTCTTAGATTTTCATAGTACAGAAGGTGGGGGAAGTGGCAAAGGATACATATCTACTCTCCGTTTTCGAACTCTTTTACTTGTTTTAAGGTTGTGAAATAGCACAGTTTGCGGCAGTCAATAGTAATAGTTCTCTTTTCTTCGAACAAAAAAATGCCTAGTCAGCTGTTACGTCGCGCGCACGAGGTCGCCGACGACGCATATTGTGATGTGGCGTGACCATCACATTCGGGCTTTCCCAGTTCGGATTCCACGCCCGGACCAACTAATGGGTCTAACCGAATTCGGTGACACACCTCGCCCCTGCACAATTGAGGACGAATGCAATAAACTACCTGGGATAATGCCTCTGCGATATGACTTTTCAACTATCCTGTATCGAACTCGAATGACGATGCACTCCGCAACACGCAGACTAGTGCTTCCTCAGGCTCGGTCTTAGATACTGTGGACACCGGAAGTAGATGATGTGCCGATCTTCCAGGACTTTCCGGGATTAAAAATTTGTCTCGTGTTGATTGTTCAAAGTCGAATGAGCATTCCCTAAATAGATCAGGTGGCGTCAACCTTGTTAGGTTTGTCTTAATTGATGGATTCTCTATTAGTATATAAGCCGCTTTCCAACCATTTTAAGCAATTCCTTTCACTCTTCCTCCGTCATCCACGCATAGTATTCCGAACAAGACGATTATCTAGAAACTTCTCGAAGACAGCCATGCATTCTGCTCAACAACCCAACACCATCGTCATTGTTGGAGGCGTCGCCGGTGGCATGTCATGTGCGACCCGACTACGACGTCTGGACGAGAAAGCAAACATCATAGTCTTGGAGAAGGGTACATACGTGAGCTACGCTAACTGTGGGATTCCTTACGCTTTAGGAAATGTGATCAAGGGTGAAGCTAAGCTGCACCTCCAAACGGCGGAGAAGATCGCGAGTTGGTTCAACATTGATGTCAAGACCGATGCAGAACTCGTTGCCATCGAAAGAACAAGCAAGCTCATTCGAGTGAAATATCGTGTGAACGAAGGTTGCGGATCTACAGGCGCTACGGAGCATATAAGATATGATAAGCTTGTGCTGGCACTCGGCGCTGAATCTTTTAAACTGCCCATCAAAGGAATCGACTCGGGACATGTTTTTACTCTCCAAACAATCCCGGATTTGCAACATATTCAGTCATATATTGCGACAAACAAATGCCAAAATGTGGCAGTCATTGGAGGAGGATTTATTGGACTTGAAGCAGCAGAGAATCTCCGCCTGCTCGGTACAAACGTTACAGTCCTCGAGTATTTGCCCCATGTCTTCCCCCCAATTGACCGTGACATGGCAGAGCCTCTGCATAAGGAAATGGAACGCAATGGCATCCACCTTGTCTTGAATGCCCGAATTACCGAAATAACCTCCAGCCAAATTCTACTAGACAAGACTAGCCCAGTTAATGCGGATCTCGTCATTCTCGCTGTAGGAGTACGTCCACGCACAGCTGTTGTGGAGGATGCAGGGATCTGGGTTGGCAAAGCAGGCGTCGTCGTGAACGACACGATGCAGACATCTGATCCCGACATCTACGCCGTTGGTGATATGGTCGAAACTCCGCACTTAGTATCTGGCCAAATGGTCAAAATCGCACTTGCTGGTCCTGCAAACCGACAAGGCCGCCTAGCCGCTGATCATATTTGCGGATTGAATAACAGCTATCGTGGAAATGTTGGGACAGCTGTATGCAAAGTCTTTGATTTGACTGTTAGTACTGTCGGTCTTTCAGTTGAAGCATTGAAAGCTATTGGGCATGGCGATAAGACGAGATATCTCATAATCCATCCTGCACACCATGCCGGGTACTATCCAGGAGCCGAGCCAATGGTAATAAAGGTTGTTTTCGAAGATGGTTCGGGTCGTTTACTTGGTGCTCAAATTGTGGGCAAGGAAGGAGTCGATAAAAGGAATGATCTACTTGCAATGGCGATTCGAGGAGGCCTAAGCATCGAGGATTTGGAACATGTGGAGCTTGGATACTCTCCTCCTTATGGTGCAGCAAAGGATCCAGTCAACATGATCGGTTTCGTCGGTGGAAACATCCTCAGAGGACTAGTACAGATGATAAATGCTGAAGACCTTATCGACGATCTTAGATCCGACGGCTTGGAGAAGTACCAAATCATCGATGTACGATCTCTGGAAGAGTTTCGTCAAGGTCATATGGTTGGGGCTATTAACATTCCAATCGGTGATCTTCGAAAATCTCTGGCGTCTCTCGACAAAGCCAAGAAGTTGTTGGTCTATTGCTGGGTGGGATACCGCGGGTATCTAGGTTATCGGATATTGAAACAGAATGGGTTCGAAGTTGTTAACCTGAACGGTGGGTTCAAAGCCGTATGTATAGGAGGATATAATGCTCTAGTAGAGACAAAGTAATATATAGTTGGTAGTATTCTATGACAGAGTATATTTAACTTCGAGGTCAGCCCCTATTCTAAGGGAAGATTTCTCCTAACACGATAATTAAGTCGTCCTGAAAATAATATTTACAACTCGTCGAATGTTAACTAAGAAAGCTCTTTGACTCAGGAGATATGTACAATCGGAACCTTATACTTATTACATAGGAAACCTTAGGCTATTCCTAACAAAAAAAATACGAATCCTATGTAGGAAGGGTAGATTACCATCTATAGTTTCTATCCTCGGTATACCTCTCCTCTATTAAGAGTATTAAATTTTGTGTAATACCTTCTAGCTTATTTATACTAATAGTTAACTTGTTATATTAACCTTAGTAGGCTACGAGGTTTAACGGACTTTATCTATTATAGTATATAGAGACCTCTTAATTAGATAGTTATGAGCTAAGGATACTATAGAGTCGAAAATTAATGACCGCTTTATATCGCCGTCGTATGAACGTATAGATAAAGTTCTAAAGTCTCGCTAAAGAAAGTAAATAAGCACTATCTAACGTGTAAGAATTCAAACGACGTACTACCGACACTAACTAGATGATCGGCCCAGCGAGATATGGTCCCTTTACGAAGAAGGTGCAAGTCCGGGAAATAGAACAACAGCATACAGAAGGAAAGTATACCGTTGTAGATCCTGTAGCAGGAGGTTGAATTTGTTTCGTTCGCCGTCACATCTATATCAAGAGGAAAACCTACAATGTAATCCATAAAGTAAAGTGGAGTTTGCGATCCTAGGCAATAGCACGCAAGAGTCTTAGTTTATGGATTATCCTGGCTTTGAGCAACTCACCAGCGTAAATTCCACAGAGAGTTGCATTAATATTCTTCCACGTCCAGTTGACCTTACCGTCAGAGTCATCTCTTTTAGCAGCAAGGCGCTTTTTGTCTGCTCTGCCGTCTCTGACATGGTGGTCTGGAGGTCTGACTATTGAATCTTTATCTTCGACATAAGGTTCCGCCAAGTATTTATCATGAGTCATGGTTACTCTACACTAGGCGAGATTCTTGCAGCCAGCGTAGTTCTCGGTGAAAGTTGAAAATCCTGTCGAAGGTCTAGGTCGCCACTCTAAGGGGAGTATTATACACGTATAGCTTTCTGAAAGGACCCATAGGAAACATATTCGCTGGACGTGGAATATCCGGATCTAGACGTTCAAAATATTTCCTAAATCGCTGGGCATATTGAATTTGACACAAGAGAGTCTGGAAAGCGGGAGTTAGACTTAGTGAGTCAAGCCATCTACCGCTATCCCCAGTCAGGAAAACTATCCTAAGATCAGATCTGTCGCAGTCATCCGGTTGGGCAAGATATTTCAAGAGACATTGTTCTGATGGTTGCAGCAAGGCCAGCTAACATGAATGGTGTGAGTCCCACCGTTAATAATTTACTATGGGGATTGGTTGGAGCCGCACTACGCTGAAGGGTTGCCAACAGGAGCTTACGGAGAAATCGATTACTATCCCTGTGATCCCACTGCTGAGAACGAGATAGCTTGTTTACTTCTCCGCATTTTCGTTCCAAGGATCTCCGCAGGAGTCCGCTACAGCCGAGTCAGCTCTAGCACTAACAATCCTGTGCATAGCAATTTTCAACTTAAAACATGATTACACTTCTACGCGGAATGGAGATGAGAATGTACGGGTCCACAGCGATCACCGGTATTTGTTTGCCCTGGGTACTGCACCTAGCGAAAGATGGCGAATAAATTAAATGAGTAGCCGGTTCTACTAAGACTGCCTATTGGGCTGCTGTACTTGACACATGAGAAATGTTAGCGTTTGAAGACCAAAACATAATCATTACTGGTGGTTCTTCTGGTATCGGCCATGCCATCCTACTTCTGCTTGCGGAGAGGGGAGCAACCGTGTGGGCATCAGATCTTTCCCAAACCCTCCCAAGGACATGAATGGGTGGATAACCGAGGCAAGGTACACTTCCAGGGCAATCTGGACGTGGCCGACCGCTCAGCCTCAATGAAATACATCGACGGGGTGGTAGCAGCGACAGGTCAACTGGATGGCTTGGTTGAGGGGGAATTGCATCCGATGATATATATGATCGGATGCTCGATGCCGACATTGGAAGTACATGGACATTCGGTACATATGCGCATCAGCTCATGGCGAAGCAAGAGCCCCGCGGATCTAATGGTTCTAGAAGAAACATTTTCAACATTGCTAGTGGTGCTGGGACGCGTGGGGTATCTCGTCTTGCTGCCTCATGTGCTATGAAACATGCGGTAATAGGTCTAGCAAGAGCCTGGCACCAAGATTTTGGCAAGAATAATATCCGTGTGCACGCTGTTGCTCCAGGTGGGTCGGTAGTCCTATGGTCTCTTGGATTTTCTCCCAGTCTGATCATGTTGAAGGCACGACTGCAACTCCAGCCTACATCAAGCGCGTATAGAGAGGCAGGATTTTTTGAGCTGACGCCAAAAAATCCTTTGGGACGGTCAGCTCAGCCAGTTGAGATCGGTAGAGCCGTTGCTTTTCTTCTTTCAGATGAACCTAGCGGTGTAGGTAGCGAAATCCTGCCCGTCACCGGGGGATATACTTGAAGCGGTTTGAGGTCATTGTTTGGCGGTACTGTCTTCAGGTGGAGTAGCTGGTGAAGCGGCGCGTGTCAACTCCGCGATTGGACACATAACTAAATAATAGACTTTGAAGAACCGAGCAAGAGTTAATCCTAACCGACTCCAAGATGCCATCTAGGCCAGAGCACCCCCAGACCGTGAGTATATCCCTGAGGAAGAGTGTCTATCCTTGCTCTAACAAGCTTTGGAACTTGCTAATAGATTAGACAAGGCTAGCCGGGTTACACGGCATGAGAGGCAAGAAACCAATCAGTTTCAGGACGCTTGATGAGGAGAAGGTAAGGCCAAAAAGAATGGCAGGGATAATAATCTCTGGCTGACTAGACTCAAATCCTTAGCTTCTCTTCCCCACCAAACAACGTTGCACGCATCAGATGTGGCTCGGATGGAGCCTTTCAAGATATAAGATAGCTGCGAGGTGTTGAACCCCTTCCACGGCAGCCACATGGTGTCGGATTTGTTGTTTCTATTGACCTCCAGAACATTAACGTTGCCATCATGATATCTAATTTTGAAGAGAAATATTTATCCTTTTTTTAATATCACTCACGACCTTAGAAGGTGAAGATAATACATGTTGGATCAGGAGCTTTAGGGCTGCTGCTAGCATACAAAGCTGAACAGCAGTTAAACAATTACTCTCTGATATGTGATGAAAATCTGTTAGCCCCCAATCGACGAGCCGTTCGCGGACAAGTTTAGAGCTAATAAAGGCTTCTATTTCTATCGATAGAAACGACTTCATTGGAAGAACTTGGTACGAGAACAAATATCCTGGATGCGCCTGTGACGTCCCTACACTCACCTATACATATACCGTTGAGACGAACTCGGAAAATTCTAACTTCTACTCCTATTCAGAAGAGGTTCAAACCTATTTTGAGCGATTCCAGGAGAAGGATAAAATGGCAAAGTACATCCATTTAAACACAGAAGTCAAAGCCGTGACTTAGGGTGGATCTAAAAGGGAATGTGAGTTGGAACACGGAATCTGTGTCTTAAGAGGCATTAGATCTAATCTTTTCTAGAAGAGAAGGTAAGGCTGCTGGCTCCCACATCCAAACATCACTATATTGCGATAGAGAACGAAACTTCCGCAACGACCCTGGTTTCCACCTCGCCTACCGCAAGAGATTGAATCTGCTCTTACCCAAATGTTCCCACTATTTTTGCGGGGAACCGAGTTGAACAAATCAGCTCGAGAGAACTTCAGAGAGATCATGTTAGGCAGGCTCGGACCAGGACACGAAGATTTAAAGGCAAAATGATTCCGACATGGCCTCCTGGTTGTCGTAGACTGACACCAGGCGAAGGTTATCTTGAGACTTTGATCCAAGACCACGTCGGTGTCATACATGGCAAGATTATCAGGTTTACCGAAAATAGACTCGTGACGGCAACCGGAGAAGAGCTGAATTTTGATATCATTGCGTATGCCACGGGGTTGGCCATCTCATATATACCACATATTGGTATTATGGGAGAAAGGGAACGACGATGCAGGAGGAATGGTCTGAGACGCCAAACACCTATCTGCGTATTGTAGCACCAAATTTCCAAATTACTTCGTTGTAATAGACCGACGCGGTAATTGGGGACAAGGATTTAGGTTACCTTCTGTAAGAGTCATTGCTGTGCTGATTTATCTCCGTCCAGTAGCTTACGTTAATATTTTTGATGACAACACGAAGTGCAGCTTGAATATGCCCTCGGGTGCGTTAGAAAGATGCAAGAAGAGGGAATTACGGCACAAAAACTTGTTTATATGATTATTCAGAAAGAAGTTATCCAACTAATTCAACTGCTGTGGGACAAAGCTCGCCCATATAATGAGAAGAAAGTGTAGTACCAAGGACGAGGACCAAAGGGACCATGATTAGGTGCACGGCTGGAGATTGAAACGGGAGGCAGTCCACGGTAGCTACTTGCACGGGATATTGGCGTATGAGCAAGATTCGCGTCAAACCTATGCTACTCTTTAGTAGAGATGATTGACGTGATTAAGCGCCACTTTCAGGTAGTGATCAGCTAATCTATGTGGATCCCTCCAGAACGCCAATGCAAGCACCCTACAAGCCTATCACGGATCATATCATAACGCCAACGTAGGTATGCACCTAATGAAGTAATCGTAGTCCGTCATTAAGGCAGTCGTAGTCACGATGACTAAGATGGCCGCGTAATACTCCAACTTGGTTGAATTGTGCCTATACAAGACCGAGGTTGGATCAATGAATGCGATTGTCGCCAGGTGTATCTAAATATTATCCCGGAAAGGGCTCGCAATCAGGTTTCATTGGGCTTAGAAATTACTCATGCACACTTAAGTGATAATTGTCTACATTACTGGCTATCCGAGGCGGATGCAAAGTCCGTAGTGGCAAGAGGCTGGGGTCAACGTTTTCCTCTCCACGGAGTGGATAAAGGTTGGGTTATGCTATATGCACTTCGGACTACGGATGAGGTTGAAGACATTAGATGCATTGTAAGAGCTGGGATTGCTTAAGTCACCGGTGGTAACGTCCAAGTGTCCGAGGTTTCTCAAATCTAATGAGAGCATCAATATAGCCCAGAAATATCAGTCACGACCTACATGTCTAAAGTCTCTCACAAGATTCTTCTCGAGACAGTTGTTAGTTCTTGTTCGTGGGAAACCAAGGTCACGTTTTAACTGTATGGGTGCACATTCTTTTAGCACATAAGGAGCGAGCTTTTAATTGGCGGACAGGCCACCAGCCCAATATCAATTAAAACAAGACAAGGATGATAGAGTACGTATCGGAAGATTCACGCTCCCAACACCTCTCTAGCGAGTGTGACGGCAGATATAACATGACCGGCTTATTCTTGTCGAGGTCTCAGGCTTCTCAGAGAATTCATAGCGCGATGGCTCGACAAGGTCGGAGGTAGAGGAGGTATCGCCATAGCCCCGAGGGAGTCACAGATCTAAGCTCGATCGTTTTCCAATTTACAACCTAGGGGGTAAATTTATGGGTATTTAGTTGCCTCAGCAAGTAGACTATTGATACGAAACTTTTAGCTCCTAGTTCGGTCTTGGTCGCTGGTATTAACTCTCTTCGCAACTCACGAGTGCACAACATTCATCTACCGACTAAAAACTCTTAGTCGTCATTTTTGTGGAAGGGAAAGTCACGAACCTCCGGGTGCATAGATTGTTGCTGCGCCGTCAACTGGCAGGTTCACGCCACTAACAAACGCTGCATCGTCTGAGCAAAGATAAACCGCAGTATTTGCAACATATCCTAACGAGCTGTTGCTCTTTAGGGCTGAGCCCAACGGAAAGGCGGCTTCGAACTTTGCACGGTTCTCTGGGGTATCCTCAACACCCATAAATGACTGTGCACTAAACGGAGTTTAGCATATTCCACGGATCGAAGCTAATGAACCCACAGGTCTGTGTAGGCAAGTATAGGGCACACAGAGTTTACTCGGATTCCTGAATGACCATACTCTGACGCGAGGCCCTCCGTGATCTAAGCCGTTTCAGGTCAGTCTTGACTCTTCAACAATGAGTCTACCGTACCTTATTCACAAAAGCCTTCGTACCACCATACCACACCTGTTTCAATGTTAGTGAGCGTACTGTTCTTAAATGCATGAGAGTCTTTACCAGGCCATTCTTTACTCTTATTCCTCCCACAGAGCTGACATTAAGAATTATGCCGGCATTTTGTTTCAGGAAGTGTGGCATGATGACCGCGACGCTGAGGAAGATGGATTTCATATTCACGTTGATGACCTTATCATACTCTTCTTCCGTCACTGTATGGGAGTCCTTCTTTGCATATGTTGTCCCAGCATTGTTGACCACAATATCGATCTTCCCAAACGTTTTCAATGCAGCGTCGCACATCTTCACCCAAGATGCCTGACTGGTGACATTTGTTTTATGAAACAGTGCAGCTTCTTGGCCGTGTGCTGACCTGATTTCCCCTTCCACCTTGCCTCCTTTCTCCGGATTTATGTCTGCAATGACAATACGTGCACCTTCCTCGGCAAACCGCTTCGCTATTGCTTCTCCAAACCCATGACCGGCTCCAGTTATGACGCACACTTTCCCTTGTAACTTTGCCGACATCGCTGTTGCAGGTTGTAAGCACTCACTGACGAAAAAATTAAATGAAAATATCTAACTATTCTAAGTAATGTGCGTTTATGTCTGCATCGTGTGGCGTATGGTCCGACATTCTCTGTGGTACGATATCCCCAACTTCCACTTCTCCAAACCTAAGAGATAGTCAGCGCCTAGTGAACCTTAGGATTACTAGGGCGTCCACTTCTCCACAGCAAGTGCGAGATCAAGTCGGTGTGGTTGTAGCCAGACAAAATACATCCACCTCAAGCCCCATCTCGTCTAACATCGTTCTGCGGCATATATAAGATATCCTTGAGATTCGAGGATTAATTAGTCTCAGCAACAGGTGAGAAAACAATAGGAATGCGGCAAAAGCCTACCTTACAACAGGTCCATTCCTCCATCCACGCTAGTAAGCTAGGGAATTAGCAAAAAACTAAGCCTCATTGATTTAGCTTACACACGAACAGAAGTCGTTTGAAAGCCACCTACGCCTCTAGATCAGAAAAGCACCTATTGTCTCTTATTGCTCGTCTGTAATGTACAATTTTGATGGCCTAGTCGCGCCGCTTAGACCTGAAATTCAACCTACTAATAGCTCGCGATTCCAGATATCGATATATTGCCACGCCGATTGGTACGTTCTCGATAGGAGTTTCCCAGTATCATCATCACCTAAAAGGTTTTGGCTTAAAGTTTCGGGGGTTGAGATCTTAATCTGAGGTTACATTCTTCTTTCATGATTCAACACTCAACCTGAATGTTTCAAGTTGGGCATCAAAGCATGATATCTTGAAGACGGGTAGAACTAATCACAGGCGAACAGAGCTGTCGCGGATGTGTTCCAGAATTAGCATTCGGTTCGCAAGCCTAAGACTATATGGATTATCGATCTGGAGTCTTACAAAGTATCTGTTGGTTACCGCCGCTTGAAACATAACACGGGGTCGGTCAGCTAGACGCGTAACATTTTCGACGGTACTAGCATCTTCTTCCACTACAAGACACTTTCAGACCGGGAAAGGTTGTTCGGCAATATGGTTGGAGAAGGAAAGAAGACATCAAGTCAGGGTTTTCGGGTCCCTGGTTAGCCTGTAGAGGTGGGCCCATGATCCACCCCTTGGTATAACATAGGCTATAGCCCGCAGATTAGGCAGGGTTCCCCGCGGGGTTCTGGAGCAATTCTCCAAGTGGTGCTGACGAAAAATGACACTAGCGTATTCTCTGTGTTACTCCGCTAATTTCTTCTCAGATACGCGTATAGCCACGAGTATTACTCTCCCGTGCTTGGTTAGGTCTTAAATCCGACAGAGGCTCCTCTCCTCGCACTGCGATATCCGAGTAATGAAAGAGGGAAACAGTGTCAGTGAATTCTTTTGCCGGCACTAGTGCAAAACTGCATCTCCATTATGCCAACAATCAGATCAAAGAACCTTGTCCCTGGACATGCGAGGCCATAGCCTCGGCTCAACTATCAGATTTCAGATATTTCCTGCATACCGATGTCACGCACACTCTAGGCTAAAATGATGAGTTTCAGTATAGTACAGCTTAGCATAACAGCTGCTGGACAACTATCCATCGAGTATCTAGCTCCTACTAGGCCGACTAGTCAGGGCGATATGGAGTTGATACATAACTTATATACATAAATGCGTTACAGTTTATCACTATTTGAAATCTCATCGAGCCCTCGTTTCCGTGCCCCAAAATTTTAGTTACTACTAACTTATTCCATGGCACACTACACACCCTCGACGCCCCTAGAGCCGGTAGTTCGTGCACTACTCTCCAACTCTCTTCCCTAGGTCCATCAATACCCCCCCTATTCCCCCATTCCCCCATAAACTCAATCTCTTTCCTTCTTAGTATACTTCTACCCCCTTGGCTCCTACAGCGGCGGTCACGCTGCTGCGAAGCGACCAGCCTATACGCCATCGCTCACGGTCCCGCTTCTAAGATTCTTACCGCCTGTATACCCTGTTCTCCAACACATTAATGAGCTATAAAGAACTAACGCCTAGCGTTCTCCGCGAGGACCGTCTCCAACTCCCTCACCTTATTCGACTCCGAAAGGATCTACTTTCGCCTCGTGGCAGCGTAGAGGGAATATAAACCCCCCATCAGCTCTACGAGTCTATTTATACCTTTTTCGATCTCTATCGTTTCTATGTGTATCCACCACTCGAAGTTGCCTCATACTTCAACATGGGCTTGTTCAAGCATGGCAGAGGGAACGCGATCAGCCCCTCGCACTCCGCCAAGGCCAACACATACAACTTTTATGTCGTCTTCTTCAGCGCATTAGGCTCATTTACGTACGGATACAATTCATCGATTATCGGTTCCGTCTTTGGTTTACCCGCATTCTGGGACTACTTTGACATTTCTCTCACCGGACCCAATGCTAAGGAGGGAAACGATATAATCGGCGGTAAGCGCAAGGAGGTTCACTGGCATTGCAGACGTCTGACAATAAGAATTAGCTGCCAATGGCCTGTTCGCTGGGGGAGGCATTATTGGTGCTCTCATTGTTAACTGGATCCTCAACAGACTCGGCCGCTGCAAGTCTATTCAGATAGTCTGTGCTATCTGCGTTATCTCGGCCGCCATACAGGGCGGTGCGGCTCACGTTGGCATGTTTCTTGCTGGACGTTTCCTGAATGGTGTCGGTGTCGGTATGATGCAAGTCACCGTGCCTGCGTACATGGTTAGTCGTTCGACCTGCGAGGTGCAACTCTACTGACGTGCAGTAAAGTCGGAGTTGTCGCCTGCAAAGCAACGTGGTCGAATGACGGGTAAGCAGCCTTTCTAGAGTCGCTTTCCGTTTCGACATCGTGCTAACCTTTAGGCGAGGTTCACACGGGGTTCTCATTGTCTGCGGCTACGTAAGTATATATCTGCAACGCATTTATGTGTGCTGGGGATCTGACTGACGCCTTCAGGGGTCGGCCGCTTTCACCGGCCTAGGCTGCTATTTTGCAACGCCTCAAGTGCAGTGGAGGCTTTGTCTCAGTCTACAGATTGTAGCGCCCCTGATCCTGCTGATAGGCTCGCCTTGGTTGCCCGAATCGCCTCGTTGGCTCATTTCGAAGAGCAAAGAACGCTATGCGCTTGAGATTCTTCAAAAGCTGCATACTCGCCCAGATGATCCATCAGGTCTGGCAGCCAAGGAGGAATTTTACCAAATCTCCAAACAGATCGAGCTGGAGAATGCGACTGGTGTGCACGGAATCTGGGGCATGCTCAAGCGTGCTTCGTATCGCAAGCGAATATATTCCGGCCTGCTGGTGCAGTACGTCTTGATTTCGTCGATTTGTGAGATTCTGCTAACACGCTCGGCAGATGCGCTGCTCAATCGACCGGTGTGCTCGTCATCAACAATTACCAGGTCCTTTTGTACAACAATCTTGGCCTGTACGGGTGGCTACCACTCCTACTTTATGCTATCTATACCTCGTGGGCTGCATTTATGAACTGGGTCAATGCCATGCTCCTCGATCGTCTTGGGCGGATTCCCATCATCACCTTTGGCCTGACCGGCTGTATTTGCATGATGATCGTCGAGACTGCCATGGTGGCCACTTATGCGGGAACATCCAACAAGGGTGGCAATGCAGTGGGTGTCTTATTCTTATTTCTCTTTGTGACCTTTTATGGAGGCAGCCAGGACGCCAGCAGCTACGTGTACTGCAGCGAAATCTTTCCAACCGGTGTACGAGCCCATGGACTAGGCACTTCGATTGCTGGTCTTTTTGCGTCGACGCTGCTCTACACTGAGGTCGCACCGACTGCATTCGCCGAAATTGGATGGAAGTAGGCGTTTTGTCTTTGCTCTTATCATCTATAATTCCCTTTGCTAACGGTTTTTAGATATTACCTAGTCTTTATTATTGTTCCGGCCGCCTGCCTTCCATTCTTATGGCGCCTCCCTGAAACTAATGGGCTCTCGCTTGAGGAAATTGCTGCGAAATTTGGTGACGAAGTTGCTGTTGACCTCTCCTATCTCGACGAGGAGCGCCGGCGCGCGCTTGACGAACGCCTATTGGTAGTTGGTGTCGATATTACTAGGTCGCCGCCGAGTGAGAGCCGGGGCGAAACTAAGGAGACTACCATGGTGTTATAAACTAGATCACCGGAAAGGTCGCTAAGGATAAGCCACCTATACCTAAGAGAAAAATAGGGAAGTTAGCAACATTACGTAACCTTAGACTATAGTAGATTACGAACTAAGTCTCCGGGCTAGAAAATAACCCGGCTGTTACGAACTAGGTCACTTGAAAGGTTGCTAAGGGAATCAAGGCACCTGCCTAGGGAAGGAAGTTAGCCGATGGAGAACGAGGCTATATTACGTGACTAGGTAGGGCTAGATCTCCTAGATCCCTTAGATCTTATAGATCTCAAGAGATCCAGGGAGAGCCATAAGATCTAGGGAGAGCTACTAGTAATATATATATATACGCTTACTACCCTCGTTAAGATAGAATATAGTTAACTTCGTTAGTAATCCTATACCTATATTTAGGATATAGTCCGACGATTAAATATTCCCTTTATTATCCTAGTTAACACTCTTATATCTACTCTATAAAGGAACTCTACCTTAGTTAGAACTACTTATAGCTCGGATTATAATATATATCCTAAAATATAGGTATAGGATTATTAAGACTAAGCGATACTATTAGGCAATAGGTCCGTAAGCCCTTGAGGATCGCTCAAAAAGACTAGAATCTCGCACGAAGTACGAGGTGTCCGGGGGACAAGGTTTAGGATCTATTGTGGAAGTAGCTAAAGACTGTAGAAAGAAGGAGTAGAATATATAGTCGCTTCCTATCTTATTGAATGACTTAAGATCTATCTAAGTAAAGGAGTATAGGCCTGTTTTATATAGGCGTAGGCTTCGTTATAATATCTCGTAAGTACGAGAGTAATTGCCGAGTATTCGTAAATACGAGTTAACTCCTAGGATGCTTAGAAATCAAGTTAAGTGATTTCTAATC